ATAGCAAACAAAGCTAGCAATGATTCCATATTTTTATAAAGTCTTATTGGTTTGAAAATATGATGATTTTAGAAAAATTAAATCTTTAAAATTATGATATAAGAGTAGTTAATTATAATTAAACCTAATGATGTATTCCTCTCCCCCCAATTGAAACACAACTGATATTTTAATCAGACCCTCTAACTAATTTTAATTTCTAAGTTTATTTAGAGTTTTATAATAATTATAAAATAGTATATAAAAATTTTTTATTTAAAAGGCTACTTCTCAAATAATAAATACTTTATCTTAATCAAGTAAAAATTAAATTTAAGCGAGTTCAACGCACTTCCCTTCCCCTTCCTAAATCATCTCGACACAATTAAATCAAATTCATAAATAAAATCGATTCATTACTTCCTTAAGTTAGGTTTTGAACATAATTTTATAGTCAAAGACGTAGGTATGGGCAAACCCAGTTGGTCTTGCATTCCTGAAATCGAAAACAATAATTCCGTTCTAGCAAGAAGAACTCGTTACAATAATAAGCAATATCCTATAGCTCGTAAAATCAATTCCTTCGTTTGTAATCACTCGGTTCATAATAATAATAATAATACTCCGTTCGTATCTTCAAATAACTACAATAATGTTGAGACAATTAAAATAATGAGAGGAATTCGAAATCCCTGGGTGGTCATTGACATGTTGGAGAAGTTTGATATTTTTGGGATTGAAGCTTTTCCCGTGATTGGATTAGGTAATATGATGGAGAAATCCTTTGTGAGTGTCAGGACTAGCAATTTGACCAAAATATTTGCAGAAAAATTGAGAATTATCACAGGTACACATAGCAATATTTAAAAAATATCTATAAAATGTATTAAATATTATTTCTAGTCAAGTTAGTAATCCTTTAAGGTTGATTAGATTATAAATTTTCACAGCTTGATGCCTAACAGGCCGGGAAAATATATCCACTGGTCGTACCCAGCCAGGTAACTTGGGAAAAATATTTTGTTGGGTACTTCCCCAAATTCTTTTAAAACAATTGATTGACAAAATAATTTTTTTTATGTTGAGTAAATTTTATTTACTTATTTTAGTTTTTTTGTGAGTGTGGTTAAATTATATAGCAAATAAATGATATATTTTTTTTCCTTTAAAAATATTCGACCTGGCAAATCATACAAATATATTTTACGAGCCGGACCGAAAACCCAGCACATAAAAATTCTATGATCTTATTTACTTAAATATAGAAAAAATTGCATGAGTTTTTTTAAACTCCCACCGTTGACAACTTCTAAATAATAATAACGTAATTCTATAAAGTGAGCAATAGAGGTCATCTAAATAAGTTAACATTAAAGTTATCTTCTTAATATGGTAGAAAAATAACCACTTTAATTTAGAGCCATGTAAATTTAAATTCCCCCCTCCCTGCAATCCGTGCCCGAATTGTTTTAAAAAAATTTGTGCCTAACTTACTTATAAATAGCGTATTTAGAAAAATGTTAATATTTAATATTAATTTTACAGTGAGGAACAACTTGGAAATTCGTATAGGTGATAATTCCGATTTTCGTTACAATCCCTTGTGTCAAGTTATCAGAGAAACAATAAGTATGTATCTAAGCCTAAATATTTTCAAACAAAAGTAATGCAATTTTATAAAATTAGGTAATCTAAATAAGCTCGTAGTCTATTGTTCAAGTTTGTTGATGGGTCGGTACGTGAGTGTACAAATGATTAATTTTAACCCAAATGGGTCCGAAAACATTATAATGGTAGATAAAAGTCTAAATCAATCTATGCATCATTTATTCAAGACTAAATCTAAAAATACTACCATAAAAATACATTATAAAAAATCCTACGATTTGACCTTCAAGAAGATATCGGTATGGGTTAGATATAAAGGTTCATTTATTTATTATAATCATAAACCTACGATATCATATTTTATATTTTTTTATCATGTTGATAGATAGAAAACCCAAAGATATTATAATTAAAAAAAATCCAGTTCCAACATTTTTAACAAAGGTAACCTATACCATCCCAATTTCTATGCAAAAATCACCTGCGAGTGTCACAAACCTTACGCATTTGAGGTCGCCTCCATTTACAGTTACACGTTTAAATGAATTAACCATATTTCAGCAGGATAATGATTCAAATCTTTATCCCAATGTAAGTCAAAACATATTGGCAAAAGATTTAAGGGATATATCTAAATTTGTTATATACAGTAGTGAAGAAGACAAAAATTTTCGGGAAGATGGTATAAATTATGATCTTTAAATGAACCTTATATAAATAATTAATTTCTAGATAGTGGTATCATATTGTCCCCATTTAACAGTTTTGAAAATTGGAGCTATTGGCTTAAAATAAGTTATTATTTTTATTATAAAATATATAAATAATAGTTATATTTTAAAAGTGGGGTAGTTAGAGCTCTAACTATTTAGGTGTGGCCAAATAATTAATTTGTTTGATTTTTAAATAGAATATATTTTAGGAGAGCTCAATTTTAATTTTGAAGTGCTGAATAAGATCTTTTCTCTTCCCAAAGATGCCATAACCTTTTAAGCGTAATTTATTTTTCGTATATCAAGAAATAAATATAAATTGAATCATATAACCACATATTTATATTCTATTTAAAAATTTAAATTAATAATTTAGTATTCGTATTCGCATAATTGCATTATTCGTATGATTGGAATATTGTATTATTTCTATTTGTTACGAATACCTGTGCACCGATAGCTTTATCGGCGTTGTCGTTTCTTTTTTTGAATGATTGGCTAGTCAGTCTATGGCTAGCCGTTGCGTATCACCCTGAAAATTGGCGAAAGTCCAAGGCGCCAAATATTTTTCTATTTTATTATCATTTGTAGTTATAATAATATTCAAATTTTATTAGGTTTTAAAAATTATCATTATAAAAATTATTTTATCGAGATTTGAAGAGCATTATGAAGATCTTGTTCAGAGTAAGTTGATCTATGAAAAATACACGCTCAGTCATTATAGCTAACACCAGGACTTCTTTAGGTAAAATCAAAAGTTTGGAAAGATCCATTTCTCTTATTTTCCAAAATTATAGCACATCTTTTAATCAAACTGTCCTTGTAGCTCCAAATTCTGGTGATGACTGTTTAGTAGAATATTTTAAGTTAGTCTGATTTTGAAATCACCTATGAGGTTTCGCAGTTCGTTAATTTGTCTATGTAAGGCAGTGGCGACGTATGTATTGCCATGGGGTCAACATTTTATTATGTTTATCGATTGAAAACGAGGTCCAAAAGTGATTGTATAATACCTAAATATAAAAAATATTTAACAAAGAGAAATAAATTTTTATAAAAACTAATTTAATTTTAAATAATATTTAAAAATCTGATAAAATTTGTTTTTTTTGTTAAAAGGAATATATCTTACGATTCATTTATTAAAATGCATTTAAAAATATACTTATATTGAAGTCCGCTATTGAAAAGGCTTAAATATATGGAAATCATTTAGATTGATAATTAAATTTAGGTTTAAATTTTTGTTTTTTAAAAAAAAAAGATAGGCAACAATAATTATTTAAACATAATTTTAATCATAAGAAAAATAAATTTATATATTTTTAATAGTACTCAATTACTTGGTTCCAACTTTCGGTATAATTATAATTACGATAGCAGTCGCAGCTGGAATTAAATACAAAATACAAAAAAGGTAAGTTTTCTTATTTATTATGTACTATATAAAGTTGACTTAACATAATAATAACAATAAATTATATTATGTATGTTATCTTTTTAACAAGAAAGATAAATAAAAGGCACACTAACAAAAAGAAAAATGTAAGACAAAGACTAAGAAAAAAACAATCATCGAAAAAAGGTGCAAACCGATCCATTTTTACTCTTTTAAATCACAAGGTCAAGCGGTTAATCCTTAGATCTTCCCAATCGTTAATGCTAAAATCGAAAAAATCTTCCACTAGGAAGATAAAAAAAAATCATATAGTTGTGGCAAGAAATGCTAAAATTAGGAAAACCACTACAACTCTATATGACCAAAAAGAACCAACATTTCATCAGCATTTAAAACATTCGAATTATAAAAACGCCCAAAGCAAAAACAGTTCCAAAGAGACACAAGTTTATGATTTGGAGTGGAGCAGCGACAATGTAAGTAGTGGGATCAGTTCGGATGCTCAATTTCGAGACAAAAATAAAAGTAATAGAAAATACGTCATATACGATGACCACATATATCAAGGTAACGGGAAAATTCAAAGCGAAGAAGCCATAGCGAGTAAGCAATATGCGCTACAAGGGATAAAGAAAGGGCAGCGAAATTTATTAAAAACGAGTCATGAAAAGGGAATTTTTCAGCAGGGGTTCTCTGAAACCGAAATAACAAAACCGGAAGTCAGGATGTTGGGCAAGCATCATAGAAACAACAATCTTAAATCTGATAGACATGTTAGTAGAAGAATGGGTAATGAAAAAGACCAAAAATATCCATTGACTAGGACGGAATTTTACAATGACAATTATTATTCGGATGATTATGTGTTGAACCGCAAGAACTACAATTGATCATCACAATAATTTAAATTATTCTATAATAACGCTGGCAAAAGGTTCTAATCTTATTTATTTTTGTTGAAACCCCTTAAAATCCAAAAAATCTTAAATATTAATTTAAAATAATTTTTTAATATAATAAAAGGGAATTCTTATAATTAGTATATAAAAACTAAGATTTATCTTAATTTAAAAAAACGGCTAAAATCTAAAATAATATCACCTAAGCCTCGAGTTTGAATAGCTAAGGAGTGAAATCTTATGGGAGTCTTAGGTAATATTTTTTGACCAAAACCTTGTCCTAGTCGTTTAAAAATCTTTGTGCCATAAAATTGATAGAATTGTATCTTATAACAATAACGATGAAATATCCTATTATTTAGAATAAATAACTTTGTAAATCATTGTGAGAGAATTACCTATCTCAAACTAAATTTTTTTTTATAATTACGCATATAATTATAATGAAAATAAATTTTCGATAACGTGTTAAAAAAATTTTGCTTTCGTTTATAATAATGATTCTAACAAATCAATAATTGAATGATCAATTTGCCTCATAATTTAATACATCAATTAAAAAAAAAGGTTTCGATGGAATGAGAAAAGAGGTTTATATGCATGATTGAATAATAATAAAATGTATAATGCACAATTGATTTATTAAAAAAAATGGAATAAAAATAACAAGTAATCTTGCTCAAATGTAAAAAAAATTTATATTCTAGGCCCACAAAAGTAAGAATTTCGCTATATAAGAAAGTTATAAAAGGATTACAAGAAGTGGGTAGCTATAGTGCTTAATTTTTTTTTAGGGAAATAGAAAAATATATAATTTTAAAAAAAAGAGAGATCAAATATTATTTTTATAAAAATATAAATATGGACATTAAAATTTTTTGGTTAAAAACAAGTTATTCAAATATTTATAAAAATAGCTATATAAAAGAATATTGTTAGAAAAAAAAATTTAAAAATAAATTATCACCGGTTTATCAATTATATAAATAAAATTTACGATATTAAGTAGAACTTTGTAATCGTGGCGTCGTCTAAGAGGGGGTGCTAATAGGTCAATTGTTTTATTTGGGTGATTTTAGTCGTGCCGCTCTCTAACGACTCCATTGATTTGCAAGTAAAAAAATATATATAACGATTATAACAAGCAACAAAACCGACTGATATTTTAAACAAAAAAAAATTGATTTTTATAATTGATTTTACAAATTTAATAGAGAATTTATAAAGGTTCGGATTTATCGTACAAAGGTGCCATGCCATTTTTTTGTGAAGAGGAGAAAGAATTTGGAAATTTTTCTATATTGTTATTATCAACACTAGATATTATGGTATCAGAAACGCTGGTGGCTATTTCTAAATCAGGAATATATCGATTGTAAAAGGCGGCATCACTTCTAAATTATATTTTGGAATCATATAAAATTATACAAAAAGTTTAAGATAAATTTATTAACAGACTAATTTTGATTTTCTTACGCACTTTAAAAGGCATTTTATGTCAGATAGCGTTGCTATTAAGAGCAAAAGAGTACTTAGCGCACACCTGAGATGTTTTGGCTTTGAGCGAAACGTTTTTTTGACAGAGGTAAATATAAAAATGGAAAAAACACTCAATTCTCCGTAAGTATAATAATTAATATCATTTTATAAATCATAGTATTTGGTGTCCGAATTCCAAAGGTACTTTATATCTTGTTTAATATTAATTCAATTTTTTCTTTTAATTAAAAATAATACACTAAACCTAAATGTATCAAGCTGATTGTTGGAGTTAGAAGTTCCACGCCCGTCCCAATATTTCACGCTCATGTCTGTATTTACTTGTGAGTGACCGTCAAAATAATTATTGTGATCGTAGGTATCATGGCCTTTTTCTTCCCTAAAAGAAGAACGAAGGGTAGAATTTTTGGCATCTTTCTTATGGCATGGCTTAGAGGAAAATAAGAATAAAACGGTTATCACAGTAATAAGGCTCAAGCAAACTGCCGTAAGGGCAAAAGTAGCCATCCTATAAGAATTGAATTTTCGGTAAAGGATGGTATAGGCTGGAGTGTCTTGGTAGGATGAGTAGGCATTGAGGACGGAACTGTCTTGAAAAATGTCTTTTTTTTCTTTATTAATAATAGTGCAATTTAAAAAAAAAGGTTAAAAGGTTGAAGTTAGTAATTAAAAAAATATAACACATTTACAAATGCTAGGCCGCATTTAGAGTAAACGCGTTTTGCTCAAGCGTTGCATTATTCAACGCAGCGTTATTAGAAAATAAAGCCTATATATGGGTATAAATTTATAAAATATGATGATAACACTATGATAAAATTTAAAAAACATATGTTGCGATGCATTTATAAAAAAATATGCGATACTATTATAAAAATAATAGCGAATTCGATAAATATATGATTTTACTTAAATATTATATAAAATAATTATCTCTATTTTAGCTTTATCTAAATTATTTTTTAAAATGAATAATCTTTTTAATATACTGCGTTAGATAACGCAACGCTTGAAGATAACGCGTTAACAATTAATCCAGCGTAGACCATTTTAATATAATTTTAAATTATTAAAGATATATACTTGCTTCATAAGTAAGGCTTAGAACATTAAATAATATCGAAAAACATTAAACGTACCGATATATAGTATAATTATTAAAAAAACCCTAAACCTTTATCTTTCCCACCATCCAAGAATGTTGGTACAAGCCCGTTCCACAAAGAGGAATAAATCTGTCTGTAATTTTCCTTGAGTTCAAAATTGTAGGAATTTCCTTGTAGATCGAAATTATCTTGGTTAATAGTTGGTTTAGCCTTCGTGTCTTTAATATAAAGATAGTACAGATGGCTTTCCTTAACAGGGGGCCAGTAAGAAGGTAACGAATTCCTTGAATTAGTACATATTGGCGGAAATTTAGGGTTATTGCTATGAGTATTGAAAACATTTTGGGAATAAGGAAATGAAGTGAATATGGAAGGATTAGAAATTGGTGGGGAAAAAGTAGACGGCAAGTTAAGGTTGGGTGTAGGTTCCCTATAATCGCATATGACATTATTTTAATTATTCAATTGATTTTATTATAGTATAGAATTGAAATATAATAATCTATCAACTGGACAACACTTAAAAAATTTATTGAATAAAGATGTGTAACTAGAAATGTTTAAAAATTTGCGATGCACTAGGTAATTACAGGAGGATTAATGACGTTTTATTTAATCAAAATAAAACTATTTAAATTAAATTAATAAATTATTTGATATTAATATATGAGTTTAGCTCCTCACATTAAAAAAACAAATATATTATCGTCCTCTATAATATATCTCCAAATGAATATTAATTATCCTCATTCATTTGAAATAATACTGTAAACAAAACGAATTTTAAAAAAATGATGAACAGCGTTCCTTTTATTTTTGACGAATTTGAAGGTGAACGAACGCGTTCCTTTTTGATAGATAGCGTGTTTTTGTTTGATAGATAGCGTACTTTTGTTGGTTCAATTTTTGAAAATTTTTCCTAATTTTATCCATTTGAGAATAAAATACTATTTAAAATTAATCCAAATTTTTTAAGAAAAAAGGGTTATTTTTTAATCAACTGTTTCCTTTATCACATTTGAATTTTTTTAACCCGCCACTATTTCGATACTATAGAATAGTTTATTAATTTGAATATTATTATTTATATTCTATAGATTAGAATAAGCATGGATGTTGTTACCTCATCATCATCATCTGATTCTGAAATTACCATGGCCCAAATATATTTATAGTAACATCCTATATAGAAACTAAATTCATTCCAAATGTAAAATATGTCCAAAATAGATAATATCAGTTTCTAAATCTTTAAGTTCCAAAAAAAAAAATTTTAAGAGATACTTGATTGAAATATTTATAATTTTATATAATATATCTCTGAGTAGCCTGTTAATAATTTATTTTAGATTGTTGTATTTCATATACTTATTAAATTTTTATGATTGTTATAATAGTTGCATAAAGTAAAAATCATTAAATGTCATATATTATATACATAGATATAGAATAGTTATATGTTATTATTTATCTTTAGTGTGATTCTTTGAAATTACTAATCACTATTATTTTAAAAATTTTTTCAAGGGTTAATGTTCAAAAAAATCGTGAGAGGCTAATTTTTATAAGGGTTGAAGAATTTATAAGTATAAAAATAAAACTATTAATTTTAAACATGGCTAATATATTGTTAAAAAATATATGGCATTTATTTATATTAAATTAAATTTTTAAAAAATTTATACATATAGTTTGAACAAACGTGAATGATGGGTTCTTTTTTTTTTGAAGGTGAACATGAACGCGTTCGATTTTTTTTAGAAATGTTTACAGCACTATTTTAAAATCAACAACTTTATTAATTTATACAAACTGATATTTAACGAAATTGGTCAGGAAATCTAACATCATCGAACTAACGTTTCTGTCAGCTTGAGTCCAACTGGTAACATCGGATAATTCTAAATTTTTGGGAAAATTTTCGATATTCAAAAGAGGTGCTCCAAAGAAAAATGGCATGTCAACACCGTGACCTACACCTTTTTTTTGTAAACATTTTTTATGTGTGAATATATAATTTTAAATATAACGCAAAATCATGTTCATTATAATAATTGCATGGTTGATTGATAACTAATTTTATCCCAAATATATATGATCTTAACCTTCTTTTAATATTCTATAATTATTTTTTAATTATGATGTTTGTTCGCAAATATTTCCTATTAATTTACCATTAAATTAAAATGTTTATATTCGATATATACTCCTGTCTCTGTCTTTGAATATGGTATTCAATATTATTATCAAACCATTATTTTTTTACACATTTTAAAAAAAAGATAACAATCATATATAATGAATATTTGAAGTAAAGAAATACCCTGCCATGGTAGATATGTGGTTAAAGGAGGCCTATAATTAAATACATATAGATATGTTTTCCCACCGTTTTGAGAATACATCTTAGCCATTTTGTCCATGGGAGCTGTGAATTGATTATCTGTCAATAACTGAATATACATTAAATTCATATCATCATCATTATTTAAAAATTATAGTATATTTATCTTTTAGAGAAAAAATATTATGAAGAATTTAAAATTTAGTTCATTTTGAAATTTTGTGAAAAAATAAATATGTATAACTTTAAATAAATATGTACTAAAATGACATTATAGAATAGTGTCTTTAAATATATTTTTTTTAAATCCATCACTTGAAATGGATTCTCCATATTGTCATATAAACACTTTTTTGCAAAATGCATATTTGTCGATAAATCAATTCTTCAGTATTGTATTTTACCATATCAACAATAAGAATTTTAAAATATAATTTAGAATAATCCTTTATTTGCACTTATAAGAGTGATCTCTTATTTAAAATACAATAAATATTTTTTTTTAGATATCTCCTAAAAAATTTAAAAATATGGATAATAGAACACTATCTCATCCTATGATATTTACATCACATTTGGTATTATATTCTGCATTCATTTATTTAAATGAATTTTAAGAAAAATTTTAGATGGATGAACGCGAAAGCGTCCACGAATTTGAACGTGTTACTTTTTTACAAACGAATTTTGAACACACGTATCCATTTTTTACCGATAAACGAGAAATGTGAACGAATTCGTTCTTTTTTGAAAATCGTCACAGCACTATTTATCTAGAGCATAATCATTTATTTTATAATGGTCCAGCTAATAATAGCTCAAACCAATTTCCAAATTAAGAGATGTAAAAATAAATGAATGGTACAAATCAAATTTGATATAAACAATTGGACAAATTATTCTACCTGAGTAAAAGCTATTTTAAGAGTAGTTTTATTTTGAGAGTCTTCCCAAGGTATATAAGCGTAATATAACACCCTTGTGATAATATCCTCTAGGAGTGCAATTTCATATCGTTTCTTTTTATCATAATGGTTATCGAAATTTGTTGAATCGATATTTTTATAATTGGTTTTCTGGAAAACGGGGGTTATATTTTGACCTCTTAGAAAATTTCGTATGGCTTTGGCAAAATTTTTAGGCAGGTTCGGATCCTTATTACCTTAAATTTAATAAAAATTTATCATTTTTTCTTTAAATTATAAAAAATTAAGAATTTAATCTAAATGAGATTTGTAATTTTTTTTATAATAACTGAGTTAGTTTTAAAAAAATTGTCTAAATTTAACATTAAAACATTATTCGAAAAGTAAGTAAATATCTATCTATATATAAAATTTTAGGAAGCAGCTCTCTATTTAGAACAGAGACTTGCAAAAGTAAATTTTAGGTCTGGCTCGAATTTTTTACAATTTTGTTATTTTGAATAATTTTGGCTTTATTTTGTAAACTGTTTAAATAGGGAAAATAAATATTAAATGCTCGATTAATGATTTTCCAAATGATTAATTAATACAATTTAAATTTTTCTTTAAAAAATCAGCCCTTTCCAGGTTTAAAGATCCCTCAATTAGATCATTATTTATATCTTTAGACATAAAAAGTTTTTTTTTAAATCGCATACCAGCCTTAAGATTTGTGTCGTGAGGAGAATGGTCTATCCAATCATATACAGCGGAATAAAATGAACCTTAAAGTATTTTTATACAAAAATATATATAAATTGTACGAATAAATTATGATTCATTTTTAACTTTATTTGATATTTTAATATAACAAAATTTAAAAACTTAAATCCATATATGATTAAGCTATTTTAATCATGCCTTCATCCTTATTTTGATTATGCCAACATTCACCTGTTTCTTGCCCATACCGAGGCAAAGTATATGTCCAATACGACACTTTCGGTACTGGTAATGTATAATGTAATGATTACTGAAGTATATTTAATTCAAATTTGATTTTACAAAAATAATAAAATAAACAATTTAATATACAACATTTATCCCAATCTAATTAGTTTCGTCCGTTTCCTTTAGGATATCGATCTTGACCTGTTGCAGTTTCTAAAATACTTCCTTCAACTTCTTGACATGTATTATTTTCCTCACTCTCCTTTAGGTTCATTTCAACGTTATTGTTTACTACGTCCTCTTTGTTTATTACCTCTACGGTTTTCTCTTCTACTTCATACTCTTCGGTTAATATATTTTGGGTTATTTTCCCTAAATGATCAGTATGAAGTATAGTCGTTTTACCCTCTACACTTACTTCATATCGTAGCATTGGCGTACGCACCAAAGCTAAAAAATGCAGATGCCGAATATATTTTTTAAAAATATTATTGTTTATTAATTTATATTTGTTAATATTTATTCGTATCTCATATTAAATATATATTTTATTACATTTATTATCACATTCATAAGTTATTTTATCAATTAATTTCGATTTCAAGTTTTCCGGCGTAATATTTACTTATTATTTTCAAATTTTTAGTGGCGTAATATTTATCTATCATTTTCAAATTTCTAGTCAAATAATAATTATTTCTGAAACTTCTGGTTCAACAGGGAAAAAGAAATTGCAACCTTGTCCAACGAGATAGAGCCTCTTCCATCAAACACTAACAGCTTAAGGAGTTAGAAGAGCCAATTATTTGCTATTACTGAAATATCACAATGGCCTGAAAGAAATATTTTTTCAGAAGCAAGAATTATTGGATTCAATGCTTATTCCAAATTTTATTTCTCATTAGAATGTATTATTTAATTATACAACTATTTTAAGTATTACTTTTCAAAAACATGACATTGATTTGATTTAGAAGATGAGAATAGGGGAGAGCATTTTATCAGAACTCAAGGAAATTAGGGCTAATGTTGATGAGGAATTTCATATTTTATATTTTATTGTTGAGTCAAAAGCAGAGCTATACGTGTTTAATATTTGTCTCCCTCGACTTGTAGCAAGGCAAGCTCATCGTTAAAACATTAATATAGGATCAGTAGAAGAGTATATCTTAGATGCAGATACATTTATAACCCAAATAAATGAATTTTTAATTCATCATGCAGCACTTACATCTGCAAATATTACTTCCACAAAAGCCTTCCCAACCTTTTTCAGATGGTGATAGAAAAAAAATATTTGTTAGATTTTTATTATGAAGATGTTAAAGTATCTTATGATGCCTTACTAGCTAAATAACTATGTTTATGATTAACTATAGTTGATATGGTCCCAAAAAATGCTATGGATGCTCTGCATTATTTCAAACACATTTTAGATTAAATTCCCAATGTATTAAAAGGGTTTATAAACTCTTCCCATTAGTAAACTAATGAAAGAACACTCTCTTTTTTAAGAAGAATAACAGAGGCTTGCAGAAGTACCATTTGCAGGGCACGGCCCGGATTTTTTTCGGCCCGGCCTGGGTTTTTTTTAAAAAATTTTCAGACGGCTCGGCTTTTTTTTTAAATTCAGGCTCGGCCCGGCTTTTTTTTAAATAAAATTTTCAGGCCCGGCCCGGATTTTTTAAAAATAAATTATATTTATTTTTGATTTTTATTTATAGCTAATAATAACGATTTCAAATATAGGCTATTTTAAAAAATACAGCCCGGCCTGGGTGTTTTTTTAAAAATAATTCAGGCCCGGCTTGGGTGTTTTTTTAAAAAAATTCAGGTCCGACCCAGGTGCTTTTTTAAAGAAATTTCGGGCCCGGCCCGGGTATATTTAAAAAAATTAAAATACTGTCCGGCCCAGGGGCCGGGCCTGCAGGTCTCTGAAAAACATACCAAGAAGTACAACATGTGAATAGATTGAAAGGTTTGGATCTTTTGAATATTCATAGGCATTTGAAGTCAAGCAAGGATGAGATAATTGAAAATTAGCTCAATCCCAACGAAGATTGGATTTTACATTGTAGATATATAACATACAAAATACAATTATTCCTAAGAAACTTTTTGTGTAAAGGCTCAAAAAATTCAAATTTCTATTTTGGGTCATTTAAGTGATTCTTTACATTTAATTTTTTTATAATTCACATTAGTTTAAAATTGTGTATTAGGAATAGTTATTAGTCCTAATAAATTTATGCTTGATATTTTTAAAAAACAATATTTCTTAAAAAAATTTATTATCCCCCCCCCCCCAGACCAAATTCCTGCGTACGCGCCTGTATCGTAGTGATCCGAGTATGCTTTTAATAATCGCTTTTTCCGATTTTTTTTTCTTTATTATTGTAAATGCGCGACCACACTTAGTAATTTATCTCGAATTGTTTAGTGTCTTATTCTCTTTTTTGTTCCCCCGTTAGAATATTTAATCTGGCAAACCTCTAGATTTAATCTTTTGTAGTATTTTGGCGGGACTTTGTTCATTTTCTGCCCCCGGTGTATTTCAGTAATTGTAGAGAAAAAGAGCTAAACTGGTTTCTAAATACCCCTCGTTTCTTTTATTTATGTTCTGTTCGAACCAAACGTTTGGTTATGCCGCATGCCGTTAGTCTGAGGATGGAGGAACAATATGTCCTTGATGTAGATGTTTAACACGTTGTTTCGATATTGTTGTTGTATTATCATTTTAGTTCTCCATAGTAAACAACCTCTCTCTGTGATAATTTTCTCTCTTCTTTGGCTATACTCCTTTAAGCATGTATCGTGGTTGATTGGTCGTCTATGTAAACCTGTATACTTTAAAAAGTACCTCATCTTGCATTGTTTTTCTTTAAATTTCGTTTACATTCAAAGGTGTTTGTTCTGCCACCTGTATTTGATCTAGTGTATCTTCTTTTGATATTGTGATTCCTTGTATAAATAATCGAGATAGTATGTTAGCATTGGCTATTTGTCGACTACTTTTGAATTCTATTTCATATTAGTAACCTGCTAATAATAAAGTCCATCATATGTTGGAATTTTCTTGGATAAAATAAACTCATAAATGGCTTGTGGTATATTTGTAATATCAACTTTTTCTATATATAAATCATTTGATTTTGTAACACAAATTAGGATAGCAAGAGCTTCTCTTTCTATTTGGTTATAATTTCTTTCGGCTGCATTAAGCCTTCTTGAGGCGAATGCAATTGGTTAGCTATTTGAATAGCCTTATTTATATCTAAATCATCCTCGGAAAATAATCTTTGAAATATTTTAGATTTTTTTAGTCCAAATATAAATTTATCTCTAAAAGCAGTATTCAAATATCCTCCGAATTCACAAGTCGTTGATAATTTTCGAAGATTCTGTATATAGTCTATTAATTTTTCCTTATTTTTTTTATTATATTGATAAAAATTACATCTCTCTACAATTATATTAGGTTTGGGATGAAAAAATTTGATTAACATATTATGTATTTCTAATACCTCTTTGTTTCCTAGACTATCAGGTGCACATAAATTTACCATTATTTTGTAACTATCACATCCTATTATTGTTAATAGCAGTGATTTTTACTGATGCTAACCTTGATTGTGTGTTTTTAAATTCTTTAGATAAGTCGTACCAATCTTTGTAACACAGATTTGAATCCGTTATACTTTATATCGACTGCGCCATTCTTGAAGTATATTTAGTTCATATTTGTAGTTAGACAGATATTTTTGTATCACCGTTAACATATATTAGTAGTAATTTAGCAATATATTTCTTTATCGTATTTTATCATAAAAGATGTGTATGCAAAATAATAAAATAAAAAATTATATACAAAACATACATTAAATCTTAATCATAATTTAAAATTAAGAATATAATGATAACATGGTCTACCATATGGTTATTAGTTAAAAGAAAAAAAATCATAAATTTAGATCATTCAAGCTTTTTTTTAATGTAAAACTCCAGGCGAGCCAAGCCCAAAATGTCATGCCAATATTTTTTAGATCTCTGAGAGCATATACAGTAAAGCCTAGATTTATCGGGGCCAATATTTACTGTTTTTAAAAAAATTGGATGGGCTGGTATTTACAAAAAAACCATTCCAATTCTATATTATCATTTTTTGGTTATTTATGATTGTAAAAATATATTTTATACCTAATTTCATAATAATAAATGAAAAGGGGGATAATGAACCAAGATTCAATTTATTTGTAGTTTTTAAAAAAAAAAGAATTCTAAAGAAAATAGTAACTAAAAAATGTTATATTCTTTTTTTTGTTATATTATTTGTAACAAAAGGAGGGTTCAAATTAAAACTATTTAACAAGTCACATTTAGTCATAAAACTTGCCTATATTTTAAATGAGACGATTAACTTAACATATAGGGAATTATCATTCGTGATAATGCACCAAATATCGCCTTCATGTAAAATGGTAAATTTCAAAATGTTTCTTATTTATAGAGAATATTATTTTTTATAACAGTGGTTCAATGATAGATGGTAAATAAAAATCAATCTAAATATCGGATCTGTGGATCGGCACAGTTATAATTTGAATATTTTTAGATAATTTTTATATTTTTATCGCATATTCTTTTATTTTAGTCAATAAGTGGCAAATGAATTACGTAATAAAATCCGAGGAAAATCTTACTCAAAAAAATATGGTAATATTTGTAGGTTTTTGATTTTTTTCAAATTTTTTAAAAAGTTTAATTTTATTATTTCTTCGTTTAATCACTAGACTGGAATTTCAATTTATTTTGCTAAAATAAAACTCTCAATATTTGGATTCAAATAATTTCGTTAAATGTAGAGTTAGTTCATTCATAACATTTTTTAAGATTTTAAGTGGCAAAAAAAATGATTGAATTTTTTACATAAAATATAAAATTCTAAAAAAATATTTAAAAAATGTCAAAAGGGGAGAAATATTATTTTTACAAATGTATAATAATTAGAAGGAACATTAAAAAAAACTTTAATTATTTTAATTATGAAATTTGAGGGAAAAAAAATTAACATGCAGATTCGAGAAAGTCAAATAGAGGTTTTATTGATATGACCATAAAACATAAGTAAATTAGATATTATTATGAGTATAAGTTTAAACTTAAAACCTATTTGCAATTATAAAAATATGTATAGAGAACTTAATCTAATTGAGCTTTCCACAAATTTTATTGAAAATAATTCGAGCACTCAACTGACAATAGTAGAATCTTCGTTTTGCGTGGTTCCAAGCAAATAAGGAATTTTAGGGTAGCTAGATTTTTGCAGAATCGATTCTGGATTTTCAGGAAGGAATGGTTTCACGTCATCAGGAAATGTAAATGTTCCATCTATCACGGGCCCCCAAAATGGTCTTAATGATATGTAATTCTAGTTTCAATTATACAATTGGTTAGTTAAGATAAATTTATATCTTTTTTAAAAAAAAGGTTGAAATAAATCGTTTCTTTTCATTCTTTATTATAATTTGTTTATATTGTTTTAAATTCTGTGAAATTTAATTGAGCACAAATATAGGATTAGTGATAATTGGTAACTCGTTTAAAAGAACTTATTGGTCATAAAAATTACATTTATTGTATCTTCTTCAACCAACAATAAAAACTTTAAAATTCTTAGCTAACTAGATTATTCGACTCTCTGATTTTTTTTTATCTTTTATAACATTGAGAATTTATAACTACTTTTATTTTTCAAGCCTAACAGTAAGAAAAAACCTACATATATAATCAAATATTTTTTTTAACAAACTTTATTTAAAATGCTCATATTTTATAAAGAATTTCCTAAACTTACATCAGCTATTTAATCTCCGATTCCTATTTCTTATAAAAAGTATATTATATTTGTATTCTATGAGAAATATATTTTGTGACATTACATTTTTTGTACTTGTTGAAGATGAGCCACATCTAAAAGAGTCCTTTGATTCGACTCCCCCCCACCATAATTTAAATAAATATTATAAGTGCAAATTTTTTTATACCGATTCTCCGTTCATATGCCCTTCTTCTCGAGAACGCTGTTCACTACTACCGGCTTTTATTAACTCGGTTACGGTTCTACGTCTCAAACAACTGATTAATTTATCGCTGGCAGTCTCGTAACATCCGGCTCGGCGAGCTACAAGCCGGGAAAGGGTTATAACGGTATCAGGATATCGGTAAAAAGCCCAGGAGGAAATAGGGGTACCGCTTATGGATATGGCAGAACTAAAGTAATCTAAAGTGCGATATTTTTTTAAAAAATAAACATATAGAAAAATAGAAAATAGATAAAGCCTAGAGATCATTAGAAAATAGAATATATAAAGAAAAATTATTTTTAAAATTTTGATTTTTATAACCTGCCGGATTTTTAAAAATTTTGTCATTTATATTTTTGGCTTCTTAGTAAATTGTTTAAAGAAAAATTGAGAAATATGCTGGAAATAAATATTAAATGATTTATATGAATTTTCTAATTGATTAGTGAGATTAATTTATTAAATTTAAATAAATACGTTACGTCTTATTTATAGTAAGTGCAATTTGCTCAAGCGTTGCGAAATTTACAAAAGCAAACCAATAATGGTTATATTTATAAATATGGAGCGAAATAATAAAATCGCGACAGCTGTTTACTTATTTCAACAAAAAAATCATAGCTGTGACGAATCAACTGTGATTTTGCTAGCGATTAATTCCACGTCGCATGAGCAAATCGTTTATACCATAGTGTGGTCCATTCCGGGCTAGATCTCTGAAATGTTGTATAATTTAAAATATTGGAATAAAATTGTCATTTTTTCGAACTTTTAGGGGTAACTTCAAAACAATTTTAAAGTTTGTTTCTTTGGTGGATCCGTCAATTCCATATTTGATTATGAAATTAAAAACAAGTAATTTTAAATATTTTGAGAGCAGGTCGATAGGAAATATTAGAGACCTGAGGCCCGGCCATAAGTCCGGTCTGGGTACATGGGTCGGGCCGTATTTTAATTTTTTTAAATATACCTGGGCCAGGCCCAAAAAAATTTTTTAAATACCCGAGCAGGATATTTTAAAACCAAATATTTTAAATTGTCGTAGCTATAAAAAATTAAATATAATATATTTTAAAAAAATCCGACCCGAGCCTAAAATTTTTTTTAAAAAAAAACCTGAGCCGGGTCGAAAAAATCCTGGCCGGGGAAAATTTTTTAAAAAGCAGGTCTCTGGAAAATATAACAAATAAATTTTAAAAAATGGCATCATCCTTTTTAACTTAAAGCTAAGTAAATCGAGTTCATTTATTTTTCGTAAGCAATAAAGTATTGAGAAAGATGCAACTATACCTCTCTTAACACCATTTGATTACTAAAACTATCTTTTGACAGATATTTTAAAAGTAATAAATAGGGCAAAATATTAAAACCCAAAAATACAGGAATTCCTTAATTAGAGAATTGAGTGATAGAGACCTGCAAGTCTTTTTGACCTAAAAAAATTAAAATAAGGGTCGGACGTGAAAATATAATTTAAAAAATTCTAAAAAAATATATTTTAAAAAAAATTTTCTTTTACCAAAACAAAGATATTAATTAAATTCCTCTATGAAAAGGGCAAAATAATTTAGTGATTTTTGCTTCATTTTACTTCATAAAAGTTTCTAATTTATATTTTTAATTAAAATTTTCAAGCCGGGCTAAGCTCAGGCCTAAAATAAAAATATAAGCCGGGGCTCGAGCCAAATAAATTTGAATTTACAGGGCTCTAGAATAGGGAGGGGGGGGATAAGTTGACATATTAATTTTTTTATTTATTTTTTACTAGTTACTTTTAAAAAAAAAAGATGAATTTTAAATTCTACTTAAATATAATATATTATTGCCAGTAGGCCTTATTCAAAAACAAATACGAATTGAATAATGGATTATTTGTAAATTCTTTTTGAACAAATCGAATAACTTACTTTAGAAAAATATATTATTCGAATAGTTAATTATTTAATTCGTTCAAAAGAATATATTGTTTTAGAATAGGCCTATTCTTATCTTTTCGGGTCAAATGGGATCTATATATTTTTTTTAAATAAAATTATCAACTAATTTTATAATAAGAAAGATTGAAAAAAAGCATAGTATTATAATATTTACTTATTCTTTAAATTTATTGCGACAATAACGACTAGCGGAAAGAACTTTATAAAATAAATATATATGCGAGAAGAAAAAAATTTCTAATTAGTTTATTTCTATTGAATAGGCGGAATTTTTTTTAGTTTCTTTTTGAGGAATAGGCGAGACCATCGCTAAATCGGAAAGACCCTTATAATTCCCTTATCCGTAACCTAGCTTTCATACCAAATTCTTTAAAAAAAGCGAGATAAGCTATCTATTATATAAATGTGGCACCCTCTCCCTTTTCCCGGGGAAGTTACTATTAATTTCCTTTTTTAAAATTGTGTGCAAAACAAAACTCGAATTAAATCGTTATAATTTTACGAAAACGGTAGGATACCTTTATACATAACAATTCGAGTGTCTTGTTTCTTTTTTTTTGATTTATCTACTACGCTTATTCGATTCAAAAAAATTATTTGTCAAATAAATAGCCTTTTTCATTATTTGATTAAGTTATTCAAAATTATTTATAAATTTTCAAAATTATTAGTAAATAATTGAAAATATTTAGATTTTTCAAAATATTTATTCAACATACTTCTTGTTAAAATTTTTTTTATTTATATTTCCTCACTTTTCTAAAATTAATAATCCATTTTTTCAGTTTAATTTTTGAATCGATTCGAATTTTCTATGAATTGAATAATAGTTTTATTATTCGTACATAGTGCTGTTAAACGGCTCGTTTTGAGTGGATTTTTAGAAACGGTTAACTCAATATTTCATCTAGAATAATATAACGCAAGCCTGAAGATTTTGTTTGTAGAAGGAACAAAGGTATTAGCGAAATCTAGAGGCTTAGGCAATATTTTTCTGGCTAAAATATTGAGTTAGCCGTTTTTAAAAATCGCTCATAACGAGCCATTTAACAACACTACTCGTACAAATTATTTTTGTCAGCCTGTATAAAACTGTAAGAAATATTAAAATTTGCGACTTAGTTCAATTTTTTTTTATTTATAATTGTTTAGTTTTGATATTAAGAAAATATTTATCAATCATACATGTCATATAAAAAAAATTAAGAATGTTAGATAATCACCTTACATGTTAAAAAAAATACCAATTATATAATAATTGAAGTAAATATGGTAAAGATTAAATATGACCTCGATAGATAAAAAAAATATATAAAGATCATTTTTTTTAACATCTTAAAATGAAGTTTTATCATAAAAGTATACTATCATAAATTAACATAATAGTATAATCTTAATTTTTTTACTTAGCTATTTTGGCATATAGATGGTTTCATGCAGGTATAAAAAATATTTTTTTTAAACTTAATAGCTATAAGACCTTCAACAATGCGAATATTTTTTCCCTGGACACCAATTTTAAGATAAAATAATAATGCAAATCTTGCTTACTGTGATCAGGCCAAAATTTTAAAAGTATCGCGCTATCGCTATTTTTTAAAAAAAAGTAGCGCATTAGCTACATTTTATTATAATTTTTTTGAAATATTTTTTACGTATCTCTATTTCCACAAATAAAAATTATGACTAAAATTTCAAATACATATATAATTTATTAATTTTTTATTAATACTCAATATTAGTAACATTTCCATCTGAAAATCACCGTATCGTCAATTTGAAACTTTTATCGCGAAGAAATTTTATAACGAAGACCGCGAACCACATGCGAATTTATTTCCGTGAAACCTTATTGGCGAATCCTTTAGAATACATTTTAGCGAAACTTTTATCGCGAATCCGTTATAGCGAAACTTTTATCGCGAACCCTTTATAGGGTATTTTCTGCCACGAATGTGTTTGTGCGAAGTCATTATCGCGAGCGCATTACCGCGAAACACTAAATATATTGCGAATACAATTATTAAAGGACAACATATTCATTATTAATTTACCCACAAAAGTTCCTTAAATTATTAAATATTTTATGGATTTTTTGTTTGATAAAAAATTAACTAACCAATTACTTTATCCGATCTGGCCCAGTCGAACCTCCGGACATTTTGGTTGAGAGCTTTTACCCCAATAAACCCCCCCCCTTCACATAAATTTTTAAAATGTGTTTTATGCTATTAAAAGTAAATTTTAACAAATATTCTGAAATGCTTAGAAATTTTTTTAATCAAGATAAAAAATACTGAAAGCTAAGAATTTTTGCTGATTTTCCCAATTTATAAAAATCATAGAAGATTTTGATAAGTAAATTTTCTAAATTTTCTCAAATGTTTTTTTATTTATTTTCCGAGTTATTAAGACATAGAGTAATGATTAATTTTAAAACTCGAAAAAACATGCTTATGGATTTAAAAATAAAAGAAATAGTAAAAGTTTCTGAGCGATATATTATATTTCTAATAAATTCAATTATGAGAAAATTAAAATTTTTACTTAACAAAATCATCTCTTATGAGTTCAGTAAAAATTACTTTAAGTAGTTTTTCTGGATAATTAAAGGAAAAAAAATATATATGATGTAGCACTAACCTACATGTATTGTAATTAAGCATCACATATTCGCCAAAGTTTGGCAAACTTCATGTTTAAGGCTGCGTCGTAATATTAGATTCAGATTCTTATCAAATTTTTGAACTAATATTATAAATCTAAGTAAGCAGAAAAGATATATAAAAAAAATATCTATAAAGATCGTAAAATCATAATAGTGCGCATAAATTGAACGTTTAAACGCAGCGTTTCAAATCGCATATAAAAAACGTAAATTGAACTTTTGTTATATTTTTCAATATGAAACGTCTAAATTTAAAACAAAAAAATGCTTGCATTATATTTACTTAAAAGAAATAAAGGACGTAAATTGAACTTTTGTTATATTTTTCAATATGAAACGTCTAAATTTAAAACAAAAAAATGCTTGCATTATATTTACTTAAAAGAAATAAAGGAAGGAAGGGGCGCAAGACATCTCAAATATATGTTAAAAGAAATCTTTTTTCTGAATATATTAATATAAAAGAGGATTTGATAAATTTCCAATTTTATATTATAAAAGAATGAGAAGATCAACCTTTTCACATATTCTCTGGCTAATATATGATTATATTAATACAAAAATTACTAATTGTAACAAGCAAATTGATGCT